ACTGTTACGTAGGATTCTAAAGGTTCGGGGTGCTTAATAACAACGCGGCAGTTAAATTCAATCAATCTCTTTATTGCTATATTCCTTGAGGGAAGGCGCTTTGCGGTCCCGAGTTACTTATTGCGACTATCCTCCTTCTAGTCCCGACGTTCAAGAGCCCTGTGGCCACTGCTGCGAGCCTTTTTATGCTCTCTCTTCCCCCACTTGTGCTCCTTCCTAATACTAATAGCTGAGGCCCACCCCACGTAGTATGTTCCATACTGTACGTGACAGGGCACACAATAATACATTTCTTAAGGAACATTTATCCATTTTTATTTGGGAAGTGTTTTTGGATATGTAAAAGATTACTTTTTGCATGATAAAATTCTTATCTATAAGCTTACGACTGCTTTAAGTTTTACGTTAATGCTGTATCTTAAACTTTTTTCACTGTTATTAGTTATTAACTAATACCTTAAATTTTTGAAAACATGTATTTTTTTCATTGTTTCGACTTTTTTACCACAAAATTTTGTAAAATATGAACATTTAAAGAAGGTACAACTAGTTTGTTCGAGTTCCTTTGTAATTGTACTGTTGAAACATCAAAATCGTAGATTATTGGTGGTCACAAATAATTGATTTAGAGATCTTCAAGTTTTCTAGAGTTCAATGTATTAAACATTTTGCTCAAGTAATAAAAATTCATTTTTGTTTGATAATTCTCATTAAGTATAGAATAATAAAGTCTGGTAGTCAGACTAAGCTTATAAAAAAATTTGAATTTATTAATAAACATACATTTTAACATCATTGCATATCAATCCTTTGGACTGCTTTTACTATATATCTGAAATCGTTTGAACCATTTTAAACGTTTATAATCGTATGTCATATTTTTTTGTTCATAAAAAATATTTATTTTTAAATTGAAGTTATGAAATGGAATTACAGACCTGTAAGACTGTAATTTACTGGAAAGTATTTATCTATATTATACATATTTTACAGTGGAATCTCTCGTTGGTGAAAAAATTGTCGGTGGTAACATAGCGAGGTACGGTGATTGGACCTATCACGTGTCAATTTTAGTGAATTATGAAGTGCATTGTGGTGGTGCTATAATCGGCGAATATTTTGTTATTACTGCTGCACATTGCATTTACGAAGACGAAGGGTTTACAAACCAGCGGGTAGCAGTTTTAGCTGGCATTAATGATTTTTTTAGTGAAAGTTCCTTTAAAGTAATAGTTCCAGTCCGCAAAATGTACATACCATCTAATTTCAAGCTAGGAAAACGTGTAGCAGATATTGCCGTTTTACGGGTGATTTTTAATAATTTTTATGTAATTTCTTATAATAATGATTCTATAAATCCTGTACTAGAATATTATATTACTCATAAGTGTGAAATATGTCAAATGTCATGATAATTGAATTACTAATATTGATATAACAATAACTATACAAATTATAATGAATCGTATTATCATATATAGCTAAAAAAACCGCTGAAATTTAATGAAAATCCTTACGTAAGTTATCTTACTTTGCCCAATGAACAATCGTATGAAGATGAAGAAGCTATAGTAACTGGTTTTGGTTTAGAATTTGTTAAAGTCATTTATGATGAATCGGGCATCAGACATAGTCGCACGGGTCAATATGCAACTAAAATGAAATTTGCAAAAACAATTGTAATGGATCGTCCAACTTGTCAAACAATGTATTCGGTAAGAAGTTCACATAGATAACACATTGATTATATTGATAGTAAAAACTGCTAGTAATTAATTTACTTCTATCATTGTAATTTCAGAGTTTATCAACAAGTTCTTTCAGTCTAAATAATTTAATAGTTGACTACACACATATATGTGCACAAGTTCAACCAGATGACGTAAACACCATTGCAGGAATATGTTTTGTATGTGTAAAGTATTTTTCTTTACAATATGTTAGAACAAATATATCATTTGTTAATCTGTAATTTTTTATGACTTATCCAATAATCTTATTTAAATTAACAGTTTTTTGTACATTTTTGCTTATTCACAGGGTGATAGTGGAGGTCCTCTTGTTCATGGTAACAATACTCTCATTGGAATTGTTATTGGTGGTCCGTATACGTGCGATGAAAAGATTGCACCCGGTCTGTATACAAGAGTGTCATTCTATAGTGAGTTTATAGAGAAAGCTATGCAGGACAACGTCGATGGGACGATATTTGCAATGAAGACACGGTATTAGGCAACATCATTATAGCAATTTACGTCCTTATCTGAATAAAAAATGTAATCGTGATTTGTCACGCTAAGATTTTTGAAATTCTTTATTCAATTGAGAATTTTCAAAATAAAGTATCGGAAACTGCATTATGATCATAGACTTTTGTTAAGCGTACAGTGTTTTTTTACCTTTATTAGTAAACAGCTATAAAATAAAAAAAATTTCTCAAAATAGTCATTACTCAGAGATCTAACGTTACTTCTACAGTATTAACAAACCACACTACTCATTTGTACACTCAGAGAAAAAAAACGATAATTTTTACCGTGATTGTCCTTACAAAAATTATCGTGCAGACGGTAATCGTGGGACAAAGCGACATCTTGGGACTTTTTGACTTAACGAAGTCAATTTTTACCGTGCTATTAGTAAAAATCGTCGGGTGCCCAATAAAATTTTCCCCTACTGCTCTTATGTATACATATGTATAGATATATTTTTGCAATGTAGCATCATTTGTTCAACTCGTCCGTACTCGGAGACAAAATTATGGAATGATTTGAAAAAAATTACACTTGTTCCTCATAGTATCTTTATAACAACAGTATCCATCCGATAATCCAAAACATTATCATTAATGCAAAAATAATCCTAACCTAACAACATGCAACATACACATTGAGTCAAAAAAAGTGTGTTATAAAAAAGTGGATCTCAGGAAAAAGCGTACAAATTTTCAGGTCATCATATTAAACGAAAAACATTTGAGGAGCTATTTTGCTTCAGAAGTAAACAACAAAGTCAGTATATTTTACTAAACAGCTCCCCAACTGTTTTCGTTTAATATGATGACCTGAAAATTTGTACACCTTTTCCTGAGATCCGATTGAACAATGTTGTACGAAAAAAATGTAAATTTCGAAAACTTATAACAGACTTTTTTTGACTGAATGTGTATGTTGCATGTTTTTAGGTTAGAATTATTTTTGTATTAATGATAATGTTTTGGATTATCGGATCAATACTGTTGTTACAAAGATACTATGAGGAACGTGTGTAATTTTCTTCAAATCATTCCATGATTTTATCTCCGAGTACGGACGAGTTGAACAAAGTTGCTACATTGCAATAATCTATGTACATATATCTATATATTAGAATTAGAATTAGAATTTATTTATTACATGAGCTAAGGGCTGGGAGCTCTTGATAGCTCAGCCAATCACAAGACTGACAGGTACAAGTTGATGCACACAAGATTGCAGGAAGTAAAAAACAATAAGTAATTATCTGCAATGTACACAGAATATATAAAGAAGAGAAAAAGAGAGAAAAGAGAAGAAAAAACAAAACAAAAAAAAA